CTGACTGGGCAAATCGTGGCTCGGGCTCATTTTAGAGCCCGAAGCCTGACGCTGCAGAATTGGCCTCGACTGTTGCGCCCGGCCTCGTTAAGGCTGGGCTCTAGTCGCGAATCTCTGCACGTCGCCTATCGATCCGGGACAGGGTGCACAGCGAATGCCAGGCCAGGCCAGGCCAGGCCAGGCCATGACACGCCACGACACGCTAGTTCAGGCCAAGCGAAGCAAAGTTAGCGTCTCACGACTCCGCCTCGGAGACGCCACGGCCTCGAGAATCGGCGCCTGTGCAATTTCCCCGCTAGCCTGCACACACCCAAAGGTGCGTCCTACGCGGGCGGTCGTGCGGACGTGCGGGCGAGCTACCTGCAGTCGCCTACTCATTTGGCGCCCAGCCGGACAGAGAGTGGCTCCACTGCGGCCCGAGTGTGAAACTCGCGGCTGACCGCATGCCTGCGTACTTGCCTGCCCGCCTGTCTCCGTGTGCGCGTGCGTGCGTGAATGCGTATTGGCTGGCACACATTGGACCAGTCCGCAGTGGATGGAAGGCGGCCGACTGGAATCGCGTCGGCTCTAGCTTCGCGGCACTCGCACGTCGCGCGCGTTCGCGCGGCTCCTCATCGAACGCCTCGAACTGCTCGAACTGCTCGAACGCCCCTCGCGCCTGTCCACCGCTTTGCTTGCGTCAAGGCGGGCCGAGCGTCAGCAAAGCTCAACAGTGAAGAGACGTTTTGGTGGTGGACACAGCCTCATCTACTGTTTACATCTGATGCTCCCGGCGCGTCCTCCTTCGAAGCCGAGGCAACGGGTCTGAGCAAGCGGCTGGACAGAAGACCGCCGCCTCAGAGCTGCACAATGTTCAGTCAACCTCAGGTCAACAAAACCATCCGGCTCCTCCTTTCACGTAGCGCCGACTGACAAAAACAAAAACGACAACAGTAACAACATGTAAAATAGGACAATTAGAAAAAACAAACAATCAATAACGAAGAGAACGATTCAACTGGGCAACTCGACGATGCTACTGCATCGTTTAAGCTCCTAAGCCCAGCCAGACGTAGGTTTCTAGGTTGCGAAATGGAAACTCTTCCTTTCCTTAGGTCGCTAAACGTTAACGACTCTGGATTCACGTTGCACTTCGTTCTGATTACCCGAAAGTATGATCAATGCTTTCCCATCCAGGCTACACACTAACACACGCACTTGCATACGTTCAAACTTTCAGTAACTTGGCCTAACACAGAGTGAACTATGCAAGTCATTATATGTATAAATATTTACTTTATCTTTATTACTGTATAAGGATTTACATAGTTCTCTTCAAACTAATTTAAGCATATACGTATACATATATATATACACACACACATATATATATATATATATATAAATATATATAATATCAGCTTTAGGATAATAAAGTATTTATCTATAATTATAGAGATATTGATATATAAATCTGTATATATTAAAAATTAGAATAGGTTTAACATTCTGTGTTTCCATATACAGAGAAAGTTAGATGTATTAATATATATAGAACCAAATTAAGAATAATTTTCAGACTATATGTATCCCTATATATAGAGAGATAGATATTTGTTACACATATATTGAAAACAAGAATAAGTTTAAGAAAATATATATCTTTATGAGGAGGGAGGTAGATTTAAAATGTAGAAACACTCAAAATAAGAAGTTAGAGTATATATGTATTTACATATATAGCGAGAAAGTTATATAAATAAATATAGACTCCGAATAAGGATATTCTTGAAAGGATATGTAGTTATATATAGAGAGAGATCATAAAATAAATTTTTTTAACACTCGAAATAAGAATAAGAATGAGAAAATATGCTATTATATATAGAAAGTGAGCTAGATATATAAATATATATATACACTCAAAATAAGAATAAGCTTTATAATATATATAAATATAT